AATAATTTTGTTTGACGATGGATTTCTCTGTGATTTTTGGCATATTATTTACAAAGAATTCAATGAATCAAGTAATATTGCTATTTTTAAAAAGCCACATGCCGTCTTCTGCCTGTTTTTGTGTTCAGAGTTTCTGAGCAGTTACCTCTGCGAAATGAAAACGGGTCGTGTCCCCGTAGGGCCCTGTCTCGTAGCAGTGACACATGTGCTTCCATACTCCTTCCCTCTCAGCAGAGAATCTTGGCCCAAGGGACTTGCTCTGTGGTGGGTAATGATTAAAAGCAGTAATCGTTACTTTGATCAATTGCCTTTTACTAATTCTACTAATGTAGAGAAATTATGTTTACCATCATAGACATTTTTTAAAGAAGACGGTTTATTTGAGAGGCATGATGCGATAAAGTTATTATATGAGGGCAAACCTGTGGGGGAGTTGGAGTTCCAGAGGACAGAAGGGTGAATGAGCCAAGAGCTTGATCACGTATCTTATTTAAGTGGCTGTGGTGCGTCGGATCCCCCTTAGACACAGCACAAGTAAGTCTTCCATATGGCGGCTCTCAAGCTCTATAACTTGTGTGTACGGAGGCACCCGTTTTAAAACTTGTTTTTAGGGAATACGTGTGCCAGAGCAATGCCCACCTCCATGCTGACAGGCAGGCTAGCAGGTGGCTGGGCGTCGGTCAGGTAGGTTCGTGCTGTTGAATCTGGGCTTTTTATGGGTCCGTGAAAATCAGTATGTGGAGACACATCTATGAATGCCTGGAGATGGCATGAAAACAGACAAAGCTCTTTGGTAAAAACTGCAGTTTTCCATTAAGATGTGAATATTTTCTTATAAAATCTTGATGATACAACAGCTGTCTCGGAACCCCTTCTACCCAGGTCTTTTCCTTCTTAACCTTTGCCACTTCCCTGAAAGCCTGCTGTTGTATAAAAAAAATGTAACAAATGGAGCTCAAGGGCCTTATACCAGTGAGTAAGTCAGGCAGAGAAAGACAGGCACAGCATGATCTCACGTTTCCGTGGACGCTGAAAACCTCAAACTGAGAGAGAATGGACAGAGGTTGCTGGGGGCTGGGCTGGGGGACGGGGAGATTATGGTCACGGGAACCGACCTAAAGTTATAAGGGGGATAAGTTCTGGGGGCTAATGTACAGCGTGAGGACTACAGTTAGCGATTCTGTACCGTGTACCCAACAGTTCCTGAGAATAGATGTCGTACTTATGTGAGGGGAGTGGCCATCACCTTGCAGTGTTTAAGTTGTCACATCAGTACACAGTACACCCTGAGGTTTCACAGCGTAAGTGAAGTCTTCGAACACCCTCCAGCCACGTCTCCCTCTCGTCTCCCTAGAATTTGGAAGCCCCGGTTCCCATGTAGTTTCATGCTTGCTGATACAGTGTGTATACTTTAGTATATATGTGTGATTCCTAGGGGGCTTGTGAAACTTTATATTGATGATGGCGATTGCTGTCTATGTAGCCACTGTCCTGTGCTGTTGTGTGACTGTATCGGGATGTACCCCCCACCTCTGGTGTCTAGCAATCTGAGTTTTCGGAACCTCGTGTGGTTTCCTCCACAGCTCTCCTTCGAGTTTCTGAGCTTCTTGGGTCTCTGGGGTTGTGATTTTCATCACGTGCGGAATGTTCCCTAACTGTTTCTTGGAGGGCTTCAATTCACATACGAGGCCACCTGACATTGCCCCACAGCCTACAGATGCCCTGTTGGTCCCATGCCTTGTCCTTTTCTGTGGGTTTTGTTGGACTTCCATGGGGCTAAGATGTTCTTACATCTCGGCCGGCTGGGTGCGCGTGGCCAGGCGGCAAGGCAGAAGTCCACATGGCCGCAGAAGCTGCCGTCTGTCATCCAGGGGTGCCCCATGGAGGTCGGAAGGGGCCACCTCTCCTGTGCTCCTGCCCACCCTCCCAGCTCTGCTCTGCCCAGTGCCAGGCTGTGAGCCCCAGCCCCCGCCTGGCAGCTCCTCACAGGGGCACCCACATCACGCTCAGCAGAACACGCAAGGATCTCCCCCTAGAGCCCTAGGCTCGCTCAATGCAGCCCGCTTCTCCCGAGGACGCTGCCCATGGCCTGCAGGCGTCGGGCCTCCCTGGACCCCAGCTGCCAGGCCCCACCCCCAATCCTCGAGCTCACTCCACCCCAGGCCAGCATGGCCACAGTCTCATGGCTGGTTCCCTTCCTCAGAGATCAGCATCTGGAACTTGTTTCATCAGGTTGGCCTGTCTTTGTGGTTGTTCTGGGCAGGATGGTGCACGCTTCCCACCACCCCGTCTTGACTGGAGAAGCACATCGTACGTTCTTCTGGCTTTTCTAGAAGTAAGGATACGCTGGGTCACCATCGACCTCTCCTTTACACACGGGCGTTTCCCAAGCACGTGTCCCCAGAGAAGTAGCTTCAGGTTTATTGTTCATTTTGCCAACTTGCCTGCTAGACATGCACCACTCAAGTGACCTGCTAGTTCCTGTTTCCCCGGGTCCTACTCAACAGTTATTCCTGTTGAGTCAAGCTGACCCTTGAACGAGCCAGGGGTTGGGATGCCAGCCTCCAGGCAGTTGGGACTCCCAGAAATTTACCTACTGTTGACCAGAAGTCTTACCAATAACACAGTCAACTAACACATGTCTGTATATGTATTATATACTGTATTCTTACTACAGAGTCAGCTACAGACAAGGAAACGTCATTAAGAAAATTATAAGGAAGAGAAAATGTATTCATGTTATGTACTGTACGTATCAAAATAAATCTCCACATCAGTGGACCCCAGCAGCTCAAACCCATGTTGTTCACGTGGAGGGAGCCTGCACCTCATTCTACTGATGGTCAGTGAGGTAAAGAGCTCGGCGGCTTGCGCATGTGCATAAACCATACTGTTTGCCCATTTTCCTCTTGGGTTTTTTTTTGGAGTTTATCTTACAGATTTCATTTCTTTTTGTATTCCAAATCCCAATTCTTGGCCAACTGTACACCTTCTCTCCATGGATTCTCTTAATTTTTGAAAACAACAATGTGTTCTATTGTTTAGAAGTTCATAGAATGTGGTTTCTCAGTCTTTAAGTCTGTGGTTTGTGCTGTTTGTGTCTGGCTTAAGAAGTCTTCCTTGTGGCGCCTGGGTGGCTCAGTCAGTCAAGCGTCCAACTCTTGATTTCAGCTCAGGTCATGATCCCAGGGTCGTGAGATGAAGCCCTATGTCGGGCTCTGTGCTGGGCGTGGACCCTGCTTGGGACTCTCTCTCCCTCTTGTATGCTCATACAGCATTATGTCCGTGGCAGACACCGCCCCGTCTCTCCCCATCCCTATAAATGTCGAAGCCCAGAGCTCGTCTCCTTTCTCTGCTCTGTGTAGGTACCAGCCGTCAGCCCATCCTGAATCTGACCCCTTCCCAAAGGAAATCATTTGCTTGACTGATGTACTTCCCTTACCTCTTAGGAGGAAAGCCTGCCTGAGTTGCATGGGCACAAGTATTGGTGGCCCCGAGACTTCCAGAAAGGGTAAAAGAACTCTATTTGAGGTGCAGGAGGAGGGGCCAGTGATACCAAGATGGCAAAGATTGTGCAGAAAATGATCTGACCCCTCACCCACCCTCAAAACTCCATTAAAATAGCTCAACTATTGTCCACATGAAACCTGCAACAGATGTTTACAGCAGCTTTGTTCGTAATTCCCAAAATGTGGAAGCAACCACGACTCCCTGCAGTGGGTAACAGGTACACTGAGGTCAGTTCAGACCCTGCAGCGGGTGGCAGGTTTGCTGAGGTCCGTTCACACCCTGGAATATTTCATGGCCTTCAAGCCGTGAAAAGACACAGATTAGGCTTAAATGCAGATCTAAGTGAAAGAAGGCTGTCTGAGAAATCTACAAACTGAATGATTCCAACTACATGACATTCTGGAAAAGGCAAACCAGGTAGACAGGGAAAACGTGAGTGGTTGCCAGAGGCTGGGGGCGGGGGATGGCCAGGCGGAGCACAGAGGGTTTTTAGGGCAGTGATGTGAGTACAGGGAATCCTGCATTGTCCAGACCCACAGAATGCACAACACCAGGAGTGACCCTCACGTGGACTGTGGACCCTGGGTGATGACAGTGTGTCCGTGTCGGATCTCTGACTGTAACAGATGTGCCCTCTGATGGGG